TTGATTAGTTTCAGCTTAATAATTTCGACATTTATGCCACAAATGTAAACAAAAACCAATACTCATTGATCTAATCAAAATATAACCATCAATGGAATGGCTATAGCACCTATCTCCTAAGAATAGAGACAGTAAAAACCTTTAAGAATGTTTTGTGATTAATTTTTTTAAAGAACAGGGAAGGTTAACAGTACATTTCCCATCACCTGACACTTTAACTTAAGATGGGCAGTTGCTGGGAGATGTTACTGACTTGGATTCAGCAATTCCTAGATGAGATTCTCTGGGCTATAAAATACAGGAGCTAGGGCCTAGTGAGCATGACGGTCTCCTCTGCTCTTCAAACCATACAAAAAATAGTATGTATGGAAATGAATGGTTTCTTTCCAAATACAGTCAAGTGCTTAGTGTAGCCATGAGATGTCAGCAGAGACTGCTGTTTCTGTGCAAACCATTATAAAACGGAAAAGGTCTTTTAAGTCAGAGCATTCAAATTATGATTACTAGCAATACAAACACCAAAGTGGGATGTGACCCAGCAGTATATACTGCCACTGCGAATATGCATCCAAAGATTGAATTTGACAGTGATATGGCTGCTGAAAGGACTGGCAAAAAGGGAGGGAAAAGCTTGAGGGCCTAGTTAGGGTTAAAGCTGATGTGTAAAACGTAGAAGCTATTACAGTAAAACAGCACTATAATGTTTTAGTAAAAGTAGAAAGATCTAATTTTTTGTGACCTAACTAGAATGCAATCCAGTAGTTAAACACCTGTAACCTAAACCAGGGATGGCTAAAACTCTGTGGATTGAACCTGCCTTCAAGGTACTTTTGTCTGGCCTCCAAGAACATCTGACCAAATTCCTGTGAGCTTGCAGTTGCTGGGCTAACAATTGTGCCCGCTTAGCAAACAAACCGGGAGTACAGAGGCACGGGGGAATCTCTTTTGAGCATGGTTATACCAATTCTGGGGGCAGTTTGATTCTCTAGTACAAAGCCAGAGCATTTGTTCCAACCTTTTTGGTCCTGAGCTGGGGCAATTTAGTCTGTTAATTTGAAAATTACAGTCAGGAGGCCAAGGGACATGTGGTTTTTACTGATATATCTTGGCTAACTATGAACGGCTTTGCTGCAAGGGATTTACAAAATGAACCAGAGAAAAGGATATCCGTACTTATGAAGTAGGCTCAGATTTCTTCAGATATTGTTTTTCAGTTTTAAATAGTTTGAGGCCATTGGATTTCATTTGCAAAACAATGCAAAACAAGTGATAAAATTGGAGACCAAGATTACTTGGTGTCAGTCAAGCTTGGGAAAATCTAAGTCTTTTGGATCTATCTCATGGGCCAGTTTCCAGTTTCCCTTAACAGCTTCAGTGGGCAGGCCTTGCTGTGGTCACCTTAGTGGAGAGGTTCTGGGCAGATTCTGGCTCTCTCCCTCTGCTGACCAACTAGGCATGGACAAAGCATGTCCTGTTTGGTCTCCAACCTGCCATCCTTTCAAATTTGGAAGGAGGAAATTATGAATTACACATGTCTGCATAGAGTCAGTCAGGTCTATTGGCTTTGGATCAGTGATCAACAAATGCATGGAGCTACTTTAACTGAAGCTGTGCCTGAACCAATAATGTCCCCTTGGTCATCAGAGGCGGGTATACGGAGACATCCAAGCTGCTCTGCAGGAGCCAGCTCAGGAACAGCACAGACCCAGACTGAATCCTTGTGGTTTCATGTCTACGTTATATTCACCAGCATCGTCTCTAAATATCTTGTATATCTGCATTTTTTTCACCCTCGAGGATTCCTTTGACCTCCCCTATCCTTCTCTGCCATCCCTGGAGGAAGCCTTTAAATTAGTGACTAGTATTGGCCAGTAGCTCTGTGCACTCTACCCGCTCAAACAGTACTGCTCTGCTCAGTACGTCTGTTTTTCTTCACTTTAATTGTGGCCAATTACCTATGAGTTTGCAATTCACCAGAAAGCAACGGGAACAGTCAGTGTCCTCATCTCAGTAATGCATTTTGGGGAAAATACAGCAAAGAACTGGGTATTAAATAAACATTAGTTTCAGTAAGAGGAAGAAGCTGGTAAGGTCACTTGTATCAAATTACATAAAGTCCTTTCCAGTCCTTTCTAGCATAATTCCTCAAAATGTTCAAGGCTTATTTGACTATCCCAAACCATCTTTTTTTCTTTGTATTCAGAAGGAATTTCAGAGAAATTCAGGGGTTACACAAATTTACAGGAGCAGAAGATGCTCCTTATTACCATTGTGCCAGATATTGCAGGAAGCCAGAAGGAGAAATTTAGGAAAGCCATGGAAATGAGAACTGCTCTAATTCAATAACAGATTAATTGGCTTTCTAATTAGGGTTGATCGCTTGAGTATTTTCTATCATAGCTGCGTAAATATCTTATAAATACCTACCACATGTGACACAGGCACTTCAAAAGCATCATATAAACTGTAGAATAGATCTGCAGAGAAAGTTAAAGAAAAATATATATCTTAGTTCTTCCATGTCTTTGTAAATAATTCCCAGCTCTGAGATGTCATTTTATTTAATTTTACATCATTCAAAACCACTGTAAAATAACATCTGTAATAAATACTCAAAAAATAACTCAGATGGTATTTTACTATTACACCTTACAGTAATGTCTGAGTAACATCATACAAATTGTATTATAAATAGTTTCACCAGCACCAAAACATAGAAATATTACATTTTACGTAATTCACTTAAGCATATGGAATTTTGGCTACAAAGAATTTTTTTCCTGTCTTTCTTATAGAGCTGATTTGGTATGCTTTAACTTGTAAAATGACTCAATTACACAGTCCCAACATAAGGCAACATGGAAAATATGTGAAAACCAATGTGGGAGCAAGTGAGAATTACAAAATTGTACTGGCTATTCACAGAATTTCTCCTGCTCAGTCTATTCAGGATTTCTAGCCTTATTTCATTCTGATAACAAGCAAGGTCTGCCGACTAAGGTCTTAGACTGGGATTCAGAAACTCTGGTTTCATACGACCTTGGGCAGTTTTTCTGCCTCAGTTCTCCATTCACAGCATGGTAGTAATAATGTTTCCTTATATGTCCAAAGACTGTAACCTCTTGGAAGCTCCCTGACGCTATTTTTTGTAAAGTAATTGGTACTGTGGGACTAAGATCAGAGCTGAGCTCAGTAAGAAGAAATGTGCAGTCTTTAACACAAGACACAATGATAAAATTGTTCTGATATTTAACAGAGGTAGGTAAATGATGCCCTTTGCACTACTAGAGGAAGTACGAGGGACTTGCCCAATGACACAGTGTGCCTTGCTGACACAGCTCCTGAGTCACAGTCTTGAACTGTAATATGCTGCAGTCCTCCAGAAACACATGATCTAACAGAAATTTAGTGGAGCTGTTAACAAATTCAAGTCTTTATCCCAAGCCACAGCAGTTGGGGAAAATTTCTTCATTAACTTCAGTGGGCACTGGAGTAAATTTTCTCTTAAACACTATTACCTAGATGAAAAATTAATAAAGAAAAACTAGATTGCTTGGCACCTAAGATGAAACTCGGGTACCCTGTCTGTTCAGTTTTACTCAGCAGTTTTCAGCACAAGTTAAACATATTCTAGCACAAAGCGTGTTACTGACCTCATGGAAAGGAAACATCATCAAAATTGATAAGTAAAAACTGGGAAATGCATCAGATAAATCTTCTGCATTACAGAATTAAAAAAGCAGCTAGTAATAAGCTGGAAAAGATAAGTATGTAGCCTCAGCATCTGATAGATTGGGGCTGGCTACAGTAGTTAGTTAAAACATCTGGAAAAGCAGCTGTAGCTTTCTCTTGTTACACTGTTGATAGACAAATGTGAGAACACTCACCATTGTGCTGCACTTCAGGACTTCATCATCATAGTCACTACCGTGTGCCAGATAACTAATATCAAGTTATTCACAGTATCTAGGCCTTATATCCTTTCATTTTATCACAGCACCAAAGCTCATTTTCATAAAATGACTCATTTGTTTTCACCCTACAAGTAATGATTTTAGGAAAGAGAACATGATGCTGTGTCTCTCCTTAGACATTACACATAGCTGACACGGATTAGGCTTCTGCGGTTCTCTGGTTTCTCAAATCATCCCATTTTTGTGTGTTGTCACAAAGAAATAGTGTGATTGTGGTACAGGAGAGAGGAGGGCCTCTTTGGGGATACATGAGGGAAAAGAAAGATCCTATAAATACGGAAGGTGTACATCAGAGTAAAGATTAGTATTACCTTACTAGATGTCCTAGCCATGCCCTAGTGCTGGGGATTACCACTGGAGTTCTTCAAATATTCTGAAGTTCTTCCTATTCTGGATCTTTACTTTCAATTTTACTTTGTGCAACAAAACCACGTTAAGTATGCAATATTAACTGAGGATATTTACACCTCACACTCTCCCTGGGTTCAGGTGTGTAGACATCATATGTCTCTATGGTCCTCCAAATACCGCACTACCTACCACAAAGCAGCCATCTCAGAGCAGCTCTGCTGATACAGGCTGCCAACATGACTGGAATCCTAAGCATACTTATTAGGAGTCTCAGAGGGCACACCAAAAGCTAAGCAGACCGTGCAGACTGGCCTGCAAGGTACTCTGAGGCACTTTGCTGGGACAGCAGAAAAAAGAAAAGAAAGCAAGAAATCTGTCTTGTTCTAAGCAATGAATGGAGATGTCTTATGATCTGCCAGGTGAAATTATTTTGGAAACACTAACACTGCAATGTACTTTCTTCTAAAGTCACAAGGGTTTCCTTATTGACAACACTTGAAATGTTTTACTGATTTATCTTTGTGTTTTATAGCTAACTGTGAGAAAGGTTTATGGCAGCTGGCAAGATACTCAGTCACAGCCTTGCCACTTTTATTACCCCTAGTGAGCAGATGGACCAAGCAATCCACACTTCTAGGCTCTGCGGGGTTCTGTTGTTGCACTGATACCTGTTGTTCATAACGCCTGTTCACGTCGCTGTTTCAGACCCACAACTCTTGCTGCCAGGAGAAACACAGCGCCGGTGAGCACTTCTGCGACAAAGGAGATCCAGACTAGTGCCAGTGACCAGCCAAACCTGATGTCAATTTCTACCAGGAGATCCTTACTCCTCAGGAGGCAGACAGCTTCTTCGAAGGCAGCAGCTGAATATGCAATATAGACACTGATCCCAGTAAGTGTAACAAGAGCTGGGAAAGAAAAACATATTCAGCTAGTTAGCATCCACTGCAGAAATTAAAAATAATTAATTTGATATCTCTTAGGGCTTCTTTGCCACTCCTTCCTATCTATCCAGGCCAAATTGCCAGTTAGCCTCTGTTTACCTTTGAAATCTAGTTGAGGCTGTTTTTTGGGGAAGAGTGAGAGAGAAGTAAAGGGAGGGTTATTTCTGTCCATTGGGTTTAATGTGTTCTCACTGTTAAATACTGAATCAAAATGTATAACAGCAAGCCTCCCACAACAAAAACCTAGTCAGGTCTTTTACAGATATCTAATGCATGTACATCTCTGTTTTCAATACTGTATTATAATGCATCCTGATTTCTCACTGCTGTGCACCACGTACAGTTGTCTACCTCTATGCAAGAAAGCCCATGGAGACAGAGATTCTTGAATTTCAGGTCAGTGACCTGAATTTAGGCTGGTTTCTAATTTTGAGTATCATAAGTTTTGAGCGTTCAATGTAAATGTGTTGGTCTTTACTGTCACCTCCAACAAGTGTTGTGGAGTCACGACTATTCATCACTTCCAAATAATTGAGCCAAAGACACCCTTGGAGCAGACTAAAAATAAATTAATAAAGGCACTCAAACAAGAAGTCAGATGTTTTCAGAAATAAAGGACTGTACAGAAGCTAGCAAACTTAAGGAATGGCACATCTAGCACAAGTGCATGCTACATCCTGGGCCTGGCATCTATGTCACTCAAAGGACATACACTAACTTATGACTTTACTGGATCAGTGGCAGGAAAGATGCAACAGAAAGGCCCTGGATTAAAGGACTGTAGCCCAGGGAAAGTAGGTACTGGAACACTTGTAGGACAAGATAGTGTCTTATCTGATTCTGAGGGAGAAAAATTTTTGGTCTGGCTTTCTGTTAAATCACAGTGTAAGTCTAGATGAATCTGCATTTTTGCCAGAAAGACAAGTTTGAGTAAAGACAAACCAAGACAGAAGTGTATCGGGTTATCCAACAGTCAAAATTCATACTCATATTCCTGATTTTAACCATGCTATGATGCCTGTACCTTATTCTAGTCCTCTGCAAGGGGGAAAAAAATCACATCTCTATACCTTTTGTCAGCAGAAATGGAAATGAGTGTTTTGTTGACATTTTCAACAAGGTACGCTGAGTTCTGTGATCCCCCTTAAATGTGGCCGCATTTCAAAAAAAACTGGGAAGCATGTAGCATATCCTGGGATCTGGAACATATCAGTTCTGGTATTTTCAAAAAAACTCAGGTTTCTGGAATTGCATCATAAAACATGTCTTTCAGCTCAGACAGAAATATCAATACCAAACTTTGTGAACTGGAATATCCTATAAAACTGTGCACGCCCGTTACATGCATCAAGCCTCAGTGCAGCTGAAACAGCTGAACAATACTGCCTGAGCAGCAGGAGGGTCTGGTCTCACACCAAAGGCCACCCTGCAGTCTGTTCGTGCTGTCCCGGGAAACAGCACTAGTTGCATCTTCAGAACGTATCCAAGCACCCCTCTCCTAACCCTGTCTTTGTGTTTCCTTTCTCTCTTTGCAACCCTAAGTGTCTTAGAAAGGCACAGTACTCCACTCCTCAGCAGGATAATCATGCTTTGCACTTCACAGCTTTTCATCTTTCACTTACTATTTGGAGTAGTTTTCAAATAGCCTAAGCCTTTTTAGCGAATACAGCTTTCTGATGTTCTAAGGAAATCGAAGTTACTTTTTTTTTTTTTTCAGAAGAAAAGCATGAAGGGGGATGGTTGGTCTTTTTAAGAGCATTTCAGACTAAAAAGGTCAGTCGAGACTTTGAGACAGCAGCATTTGCTTCCAGCAATCTCCTACCATTCTCTTCTTAGAAACAGGACTGTATGATCAGGTGATGAGGGCCAACACTGAGGATCCCCTTTTCTGTTGGGGAAAATTTCTGTTTCAAGTTACATTGTGAAACAATACTGAAAATCTATTTGGAGAAGAAAATAGAGATGGATTTAAACCCAGTTTTCCTACTTTGACAGAATGTTTTTAGTTTTAACTCATAAATTACTTTCTAAAACACAGAGGTTTTGGTTACAGCAAAAATAATAAAAAACAAAATGTAAAAGAATGTTACTAGCTTCAAATTGAAATGTTACACTCCAACTAAAATAACTCTTTGGGGTTTCCTTTTGTGACCCACAGTTTGGGGACATCAC